GATTGGCCAATTCACTATAACAAGAGTATTTTTATTATATTTATTCAAAAAATTCGTTATATCAAGAGTTCGCTATAACAAGAGTTGACTGTATTAATCAAATAATTCTTCACGTCTTCATTATTATCATTATTGATCTCCTTTGTCCTGTTGAAATATTCGCATTAATTATGAAGTCTTATTATCGTGAAGAGGAAGAAATATGACAGTCACCTTTTGGTAGCATGAGAGCCATAGACAACTGGAAACATTCTACATATAAACTTGAATTCTGTTAGTCTACAAATCATTGACATATCGATCTAGAACCGCAGGAGACTCCAGATGACCTCATAATATTATCGATCAAGTTTGAAGCAGCCCAAGCTGAGAACTACCAACTTGTTTACTTTTTTAGTATCATTAGTATTAGAAAAGTTTAACGTCATATTTCCATGACGATTTCTTCCTTCACCATAGTGGTATGTTTCAAACTTTGGATTATTCGCATATGCTTCACCTATACAATTCACCATAGTCAATAAACTAATCACATAGAGCATTAACCAGTATAAAAATAGATCAACATCCTCTTACCGATTTGAATATAAATACCAACAGAAAAATCCTCTAAATGTGCACACGTTTTGCACAGTGTCATCGATGTCTGAAGGCCATTAGCAACAGCGTAATTCTGCACATCTCTGCTTTCAAGTCTTACATGATTTTTTACCTAGACAAGATACAATCCTTCAGTTGCAAAAATTCTCTCTATAATATAAGAAAGAACATGCACAATAATTGTTGTAGTAAAAAGATTGTACCTGTATATTCAAAACTAGTGTTGTTAATTGAACCAATTGGACAATTAGACAATTGGATATAGTTCAAATAGTCCAAATAAATAATTATATAATTGGACTTAGTCCAATTGCCAAGTAATTTATTAACCAATAAAAATGCATAAAAATCACATAATATATATATGTATCGAATCCAAAAATTTTATTTTATTTATTAACTTTCTCCTGCTATAAAACTTTCTAAATAACTA